CGATGGCTTTCTGGTCTTCATTTTGCTTGCAGTAGTGTGAACACCTAGGTTAGTTTTCTTGTTTTATTAGCTTACTGGCCAAAGAACTGTAATCTGAAGACACACAATGCATGGTGCTTCACATCGATCTTCTTTAAAGCATACATATATACATGTATAGCACTAGTCCAAACAAAATGTCCATCACTGCTTTCTGATTTTAGCCAGTGTCAGTTGAACTTATTTTTCACACTTCCATTAATTAATTTCACATTTTCAGCACTTTCCACTTCCATTTTGAAACATTCAGAAGTCAAAACTTAACGCAATGCCCAACTGCGACACGTGAAACAATGCCAATGTGTTGTTATTCGGTCATGGCCTGTGAGATGACGCAATGCTTGTGATCACTAAACCATGTGATGTATGAGCATAACTGGTTGCCTACTTTAGTAAGTGAACAGGAGTTGCCTGGTAACCAACCAAGCCAGTTCCTCACAGACTGAATTTCCCCATACATGTATTTAAAAGGACACTGCTTATACAGTGCCCCATGCTACGTGTAAATCAAATCATTTCACACATATTACAGCACATCGATGATTGGAAAGCGCATATCATTTTTAAGTTTTACGTGCGGTATTAAAGTTCCTTTGTTAAAAATATTGTTGTTCCAGCCCACAAATACCAAGGCCCGGGAGGATTTTGCCCAAAATATGAGAAAGCCAGAATTCTGGCAATAGCCAGAAATCTGGTATCCCTGACTCTATCTTGAATCACTGTTTATTCTTGCATCTGATTGGTATCTAACTAATGGCATACATGTACATGTGCACATATTTGTGACAGAGACAAATTCCACTAAACATCAGTAAAATTTGAGAAAGTTGCACCCACCCTGCTGAATCTCTTGGCAGAGAATGTGTGGCCATTAACTTTGTAGAGTTTGCGCCATCGCCTAGCTCCACGCCTGTAAATGTTTCCTAATTAAAAAAAGATAAAACAAATTTATAATTGCCCTGCAATGCCACTGACAGAGTGGCATAGATTTCTGGGCCACTTTCTGCCACTATCAACTCTCTACTATGGTATCTTTAAAAAATGAAGATATACAGTGCTCTTCATGTATTGGTTCTAACTTACAGTTGAGTCTGTCCACTCTGAAAGACACATTTGCACATAACCAAAATCATCTCTTTCCTCAACAGTGTTGAGAGTCAAGAAATGAACTTTTACAATTTTACTGATATTTGTATAATTGTACAGATATAGCTTGAAACTATTAGTTTCCACAGTTAAATAGGGATTTATTGTTCACTGTTATAATAATCAGAATATTTTGATGAAAATGTCCAGCTTATTTTACATGTTTTAGGGGTTTCAGTGGGACATGCACTGTGTCTGCTCATGTTTTTCAGGTTATCTGAAATACCACTCTCATGAAAAAAAGAAATCCAGCTGTTAAAACATGGGTACTACAGGTATAACATTTGAGAAATGAGTCAAAATCTAGAGATTTTTACTTCTTTAAAGTATCTTAAACAGGAATTTAAAGAGAGCTAATTAAGGAAATTAAGGAATAATGTACAGTACATGACAGCGTATGTCCACAGATTTTACCATTCCTTGACCAGATAACCTCAACAAAAATATATACATGTACAGTGTACATGTATCTTTCTAAGAGAAAAGTTTTTACAATAATAGTTTACATCATATTTGTGTTTCTTTTCCCGTGAGATGACAAAACTAAGATTGGATTTTAGGAATTGCAAATATCAGTCCATTATTTTGTAACATTTGTCACAACAGTTTTTTCCTTTTATATATGTATTTTGTAAAAATCTAAAAGACTTATCTTTAAGAGCACATTTATACATACAAATATATTTTTTACAAAACCAAATTAAATAAATGAAATTTCATTAGAAACAGTAGGTTCATTTAGCTGAAATGAAAGTGAGAAGACTGTCTGTCCCCAGGTTATGATACGTGAAAGACATTACATCTGTCCATGTAACAAACATTACTCACTGAGAAAAACTTAGTGTTTATTTAAGCTGAAGTTTAACAGTCTTATTAACAAAAATGATTTTGAAAACTGAAAACAAACAAGTTTTGTTTGTGAACAATTCTGTTTTCATACTCTAATTCAAACACAATAATGACTATCCAAGTGACATGTATAGCTACTTATACATGTATCAAGATCCATTTGACAAACATGATGTCTGTCCAGTGACAAATGTTACATTTTTTTTTCTTGAAATTTGACAAATGTTGTATCTTCAAGAATAAATTTCTGTAATTTCTCGAACACTGCTCAATTTATCTTAATCTTTGTGTGGCAACAACCAGAAACAGTCGGACATTATGTAAGCAAAAATAATGGCAATATTAGAACTGGAAATTTGTATTGAATGTCACGCAAATGTGTCTTATAGTGTCTGGATAGACCCACTTCCAAATTATGGAACTGGGTATCCCCTACCCATTACCAATACCATGTAGTCAAAATGTTTTCTTGAATCTGGTACCCTGCCCCAATACAACTTGTAAATGCAAACTACTACTACATGTATAAGAAAGATGCATTTGGCAAGGGATATTCCATTGTCAAACTAAAAAACTGAAATCAAAGGGAAGGTTGCATAACTTACTGTCTTCCCCAGGGCATGGCATCCCAGGCTGCTCCGGTACGGATGGAAAGACTAATGAAAAAGCATTTTAATTAGTTATTAAGACAGTGTAAAGAGCAAGACCCCTCTTGTCACCCAAGGTTCAACAAAACAAAAGATTCAATCCCCGCTGGCCAACAGAAAGCAGTGTTGATTTGAAATATTTCATCACTGCAGCATGAAAACAAGTCAGCTTTCAGACCGAGTGGATTTTCATCTAGTTGACCACGTATCAAATTAAATTCTAATGCAAGTTTGGAGGGTTGGGGTAAGTAGTATGAAGACTACATGCATTGCGAGTGATTCCTACAGGTACATATACATGTAGGCTAGCCAAGTGTGAACAAAGACGAGTCATTGTCTGTTTACAAATAAGCTGATTATACACGATGCTTCAGGTGTTGTCTCCTTGCATCATGCTATGATCATCTGCTGTTACGCGTACAAGGACAAAAAATAACAGCTTATCCCATTCTTTGTGAAGGTGCAGAAGGGGGTAGGAAGTAAGACAAATTAACATATAGTTTCTGTATCTAAAATTAGATGCTTAGCACAAACTCAAGTCTGCTGTTATAATGTCATGGCTTTATCCAGTGCTCCACATTTATTTCATCACTGACACGGACATAAGAATCTAACTACGGTAAATGAACCCCAGTATATATCTGAAATTCATTCTGCACATATATATTGGAACAACATGTACCGGTATAAGCATTTTTCAGTGCATTGCTACTGATCACATGTACAAGTACAGTACATTAGAGACTACAGAACAGATGGCATGACTTCAATGTGCATGTTATTTGTACTTTTTTCACACACCTGCAACATGTACATGTAGGCCTACTAATACATATTAACGGTAATAAAAATTAGTGCAAGGGAGCAAGGAGGATGATGTTAAAAATTGAGTATGACGGTACTGACTTGAGGAAGGTGAAGATGGGAATGGCAGTGACTGACTTGAGGAAGGTGACGATGGGAATGGCA